TAGGGGGATGCAGGCTTGTTGAGGAGGTGAGGAATCGTTTGCCCAGCATTTATAAGTCGAGGTCTTGCCACACCGCTCACACAGACCAAGCTTCCGAAGCAGCGAGACGCGCGGACTTGCCCATTGAAACGAAGCACGGGAGGTCTTCGTCTCATCGACGCCACCCGAAGCATATTGATCACCGAATCTGCGAATCAGTTCCGCGTCCTTTTTGCCGCTTGTACTGGTCGAGGCGCTGATTGAGTGGCACCGACATTGCGCTCAATCGACGTGGCTGATGACCTGGAGGCTTTGGACGCGCCCTCTCGGGCTTTCTGTGACATACGGATGAACGACTCGCTGGCGTTCGGGTGGCGACGCTGCCTCATCCGTTTGCCATCCGTTTGCCATCCGTTTGCCATCCGTGCTTGCCACTTCGGTGCGGACACTTGCGATTGGCCGAAGCGGCACCGACTGCGCAGTAGTAGCGCACACATGTAGAAGGTTTCAAAACACTTGAAACGCCACGAACAATGTTCACTTTGTCCGACGGCCTGGCCGCTCTCGCCACTCCATCATCAATCACCATGCGGCGCATTTGCCGGATCGAGCGACCCTTGCGCACAGAGCAAGCTCAATCGTAAGGAAAGACACCCGCAGGCGGTATTCACAGCGAAACATCGTCGTGGCAATAGATGCGTCTATCAAATTTCACGGGCATGATTGGTCCGAGAGCGTACTGCCCGGAATTGCGATGCACGGGTAGAGACGCTACTGACCATACTTCGCCGCCAATATTATTACAGGTATCGCAGGTAAGTTTTTAGGGGCCTGCTGACAAGCCAGCTATTGGCGTGCAGCGCATGAAGTTGGCAGTCGCAGGCTAGTAGACAGGCGCCCGCATCGCTGCCAATCGACGGCTAGGAGGATTGATGCACACTCGCAAACGTTTCGCTTTGATCCAGTCCATCAACCGCTCATGCCTTACCCTTGGCAGTGAGCTTGGCTTTCTCGATAGCCGCCGCACTGTTCTTCATCAGCTGCTTCTTGTAGGTTCCAATGTCGATATCACGGGAGCTGAGGTTGATAATCTTTCCATCCTTTACCTCCCAAATCTCGTTTGCAATCTTGGACAGCAATCTGAAATCGTGCGAGACGACTACTACACCGCCTTCAAATTCGACGATAGCTTGGGCCAGCGCATCAATCGAAGACATGTCCAGGTGGTTCGTGGGCTCGTCCAACAACAAGATGTGTGGGTTCTCCATGGCCAATTGAGCAAAGACGACTCTGTTTCTCAATCCATCGGACAGAGTTTTGATGGCGCTAGTTTGGTGGGCGCCCGTCAAGCCGAAACGACCAATCTGCTGGCGCCAGAATTGCACTCCCTTCTCTGGCATCTGCTCCTTGTACTACAAAGGAAACGAGGAAGCGCGTGGCGGGTCAGCAAAGACGCTTCAGAGACTTGTATTTCGCATCCTTGCTCACCTTGGACTCGATGTACTCAAGCGGTGACTTGTCGTACGGCAGCTGATCGGCAGAGTGTTGACTGTACTTGGCAAGCTTGAGGCCGGCATGCCTCTGTACTGAGCCTTCCACTGCCATGAGGGCTCCGGTGATCAGGTTCAGCAGGGTAGATTTACCGGTACCATTTTGTCCCACAATGCAGACACGACTGTCCATATCGATACCGAAAGACAGGTCCTTGTACAAATAGTCCTCCTTTTTGCCGCTGTAGCTGAAAGCCACCTCGTTGAATGCAATGATAGGAGGCGGCAGCTTGCGCACATCCTCAAAGTTGAAACGCAAAGGTCGAGGTGTAGTGACAGGTTGGATCAAGCCGGCAGCTTCCATCTTGTCGATGATCTTTTGCTTCGACTTGGCTTGTTTGACCAAATTGGCGTAAGTACCGGCACTCGCAATAAACTTCTTGATATGAGCAATCTCCTCCTGCTGCTTGGCGTACGCCTTCATTTGGTTCGTCTCGTTTTCTGCCTTGGTACGCACGTAGGTGGTGTAGTTACCGCCGTAGTAGACCAGCGTTTTGTGGTGGGTCAGATCCATGATGTTGGTGCAGATGGAGTCCATGAAGTCAGCAGAGTGGGATGTCAAGACAAGGATATGGTTGTAGGTAGACAAGTATGCTTCGAGCCAGACGACTGCTTCAAGATCCAAATGGTTCGTAGGTTCATCCAGGAGCAAGAGGTGGGGCTTGATGAAAAGAGCACGAGCAAGGGCGACACGCATACGCCAACCTCCAGAAAGATCCTTGGTCGGCTTGTTCATCATCGTCTTGCTGAATCCGAGACCATGCAGAATGGCGCCTGCCTTGGCCTCAAACGTGCTTGGGTCAAGCTCCTCCAATTCTTCGTATTTGAGCTCGAGTCCAACCTCGTCTACAGCATCAGCGGTGGACATGTCCTCGATCTCCTTTTCGAGACGGGCAACTTTCTCCTGAGCGCTCTTGATGCAGTACTCCAATCCGTTCTCCTCCGACGGCTCGACCTCACCGCGCACCAAGTGAATGTCGACGTGCCCAGGAATTTCGACGTCTCTGTTGGCCAGAGCTTCCAAAAAAGTAGTCTTTCCTGATCCGTTCTCTCCCAGCAAACCATATCTTTGTCCGTAATTGAGTGCTACGCTAGCACCATCGACAAGAAGACGGCCATGAAAGCTCATGGTGAAGCTGTCGATATGAATGTCTCGGCCTTGAGGGTCGCTAGTGAGCACACCTGACGCATTGCGGTCAGTGGCCAGAGCGAGCTTCTTCATGTCAATCTCTTCCACCTCATCGCCATTCACGCTGGTGGGTGCGGTGGAGTCGCCGGTCTTGGCAGAGGTTGAAGTGGCAGTGGAAGCGGTCTCACCCTTGGCCTCCGCCTTGGCCTGAGCCTTGGCCGCCTTCTCGCTGTGGGGGCCGTATGAACAAATCGACGTCAGTTTGCTTAGCCAGCCAAAGAAGTGAATTAGCTTGGACCAAGCGCATCTACTTACGCTTGGCGTTTGGCCTTGGACGCAGATACGGGAGGCATGTTGTTAGAGGGTCGTAATTAGCGTCGTGGTGTGTAGAGGATGGGCGATCAGGTCTTGTTGTTGAAGGAGACCAGCTTGTATGCGTGACTTCTCAGAGCGAAAAGCAATGCAGCTAATCGGTTTGGATGGTGCCCAGCGGATAAGGGCCTACCGATTTTGAGATCGTTGGTGAAGGCAAGACAGATTCTTAAGAAGAAGTTGCGACAAAGAGGACTGACTGTTCAATTCGTGATTGTTTGCCTGCTCGAGCCACATCAAGCGTTGGTTGGACGAAGACGGGCGACTGATGATGAGCCACTTACATTTCAATCGTTTGACCTCCTGCAAGAAACTTTTGACGCGCAGAGCGGCGGCGCTTATTATTGCATGCGCACGCTAAGCCCGTGCGTCTGGCGTTTGGCGAGGAGCCGCGTGCTGCTTTTGATATACCGGTACATACAGTACAGTCTGAGTACTGTACGCGGCAGTGCGGCACCTTGCCATCATTCATGATTATTCGTGATTCGATCTGAGGCGGCATTCATGCGCCTGCGCCTCTGCCATCCACCGCGCGTCTCACAAAGCCGCATCGAAAATTTGCATCACTGAGCACGTGACTGTCCCGTTTCCCGGCCGAGAAATGCAGCGCTCACCTCCACCTCAATCCAGACTTGCAGACTTGCAGCAGCTGGCCAAGCCTGGCTTACGCACAGCATGCGGCTGGCTCAGCACGCAGCAGCAGGGGCAGCCCAGCCGGGTTAAGAACACCTCGCTACCGGTACCGCGGTGTCGTACGACGATGGGCACTCGTGAGTCCCCTGAACCAGCACGCAGCGATTGGCGCCTCGAAAGCGCGCACATCATCCCTCTTGCCATTGACCAACCACCCTGAGATCGCCTTTGCTCTCATGCTCTTGCCACGGATTATCAAGCGCTACGCAACCCCAGCCACAGCATCAGCACTTGCTTTGGGCCTGTCCTCACCTTTGCTCTACACGGCCTCCAACCAGATTGCCACCCGCATTGTCGGCGCTGCGCCGCTCAGGTCTTTTCAGACAACTACACCTTGGTACTTGCACCCGAGTAAGCCAGCCAGTATGGGATCCGATGCTTCCAAAGTCACGGGCAACTTTCCGAAGGGAAAGAGCGAGAGCGAGTGGAGAGCGCAGTTGAGTCCCGAGCAGGTGAGTGCTTCTCCGTGCAATGATGCGGTTTCGTACAGCTTGTGCTGTGCCATGCCAACACTACCACCATGTTCCCTCCATCTTGTGTATCCCCGACTCAGTTCCGCATCTTGAGAGAAAAGGGAACTGAGCCGGGCTTTTCTTCCGAGCTCGACTCTCACTACCCCAAGGAAGGCGTGTATAGCTGTGCAGGTTGCCACACTCCTCTCTATAAGGCGTCCCACAAGTTCAAGTCGGGCTGCGGTTGGCCCGCTTTCTTCGATGCTATTCCAGGCACAATTGATAGGCATGTGGACAGGAGCTGGGGCATGAAGCGAGTAGAGATCACTTGCAAGGGTGAGTGGACGATGCACTTCGGCACTCTGTGCGGTTTGTGAGTGGCTGAAGTGCTGTCTGGTTTGATTGGGCTCTGTACAGCTTGCGGAGGTCATTTGGGACACGTTTTTGAGGGAGAGGGCTTCAACAACCCAACAGACGAGCGGCACGTGAGTCACCGAGCTTTCAAGTACGGGCCGTAAGCCGCTGCTTAGATTCGTCCTGTGTTTGATCCAGTGCGTCAATGGCGTGTCAATCCGCTTCGACGAGAACGCAGAGCAGAAGCTTTGATCGTTACATTCGAACAGCGGATGTATCACTGCGCTGAATAGGCACTGATTTACATGCGAAATGCTATCACACTTTCCTTGGGCCAGTTGCAGCCAGCGATCATCGAACACACGGTACGCGGAGGTGCAGTGTACCAAAGGTATTCCTAACCATGCCCGGCTCATGTCCCTGTATACCTAGGTGCACGCTTTTCTGCGAACGCTCGCAAGCCCTCTTGCCGGTCATTGCTGTCCATGAGCCGATCATAGCAGGCTCTCTCCCAGTCCAGCGCTGCTTCACTGTGTTGAGCGGAGCGCAGGCGGTGTAAGAGGCGTATTGGTGCCGAGCATGCAGTGGACACCATGGAAGCGACTCACTTGTCGATTCCCAAACTTCTGTCAATTGCAGCTTTGGCAGCGCGCAATGCCAATGGCCCTGCTCGATCGAATGACATGTCAGCTTTCAGCATCTAGCACGGTTCACGAAGTTGCAACAGTGAGGAAGCACGCACCATTGGCCGCCATAGACCTAGCGAGCTGCACGGACAAATTGAGCGCTTCGTCGCCTTCATGATCCTTGTCCTGAGCTGGGGCGTAGTGCTCCACCAAGCCAAACTCCAGAGCCGTGCGCCCGTCGATGATGCGAGCGCTGAAAATGAGATCCTTGGCTCGACTCAAGCCCACCTGTCTTGTCAGACGCAGTGTGCCTCCAGCTCTGAGTCCAATTGAAAGCGACCGTTCGGGCGGGAAAGGCGTGAGAAGCGCATGACCAGGCTCATTCAAACCCAGTCTGCTTCAGCCGCTCACCCAGGAATGATGCCAAGTCTAGTTTCCGTCAATCCTAGTTTGGCTCCAGGCCCTGCCACCCTAACATCCGTGGCGAGAGCTAGCTCCAGTCCTCCCCCCAGAGCTGTCCCATCCAGGGCCGAGATGCTGGGCACTTCGAGCTTCTCTAAAGCTGTGAATGTCCTTCGGAGACCGAGCAGGAAATCGTTTACCTCCGCAAGGGACATGGACTTGCGTTCCCTCAAGTCCGCACCAGCGCAGAACGTGCTGGGAACCAGTGATCGAACTACGAGCACGCGCGTGCTGCGTCAACCAAGCGAGACGATTTCACATCAGTCGATTTGAGCAAATTTGAGCATCGAATCGATACTCACCCGTCATGTCGCACTGCATTCACACACTGCTCCAGCTCTCCTAGCATCTGAACGCCAATGGCATTTCGCGCAGGAGCTCTGTCGAGCGTGAGCAAGCTGATGTGCCTGTCCAGCTCCAATGAGTCCGTCGACTGACCAGACGATGGGTGATGAGCCACAGATCTGGTCAGCGGACTCTCGGAGAGCTTTTCGAGGTAGGCTAGGGGTCTGGCTGTGCTGTATGCGCGCAAGTGACTGGAGGAAGCGACCAATCGCTTTGTTGACCCTTGGCACGCTATGCCTAGAGGCGAGCAGCTGGACGATGTCAGAGCTCGCAGCGCTGATCGAGAAAACATCTTAGTTGCGAGGAATGCCTTCCAAGACTCGAGGTGATGGACAGAGGTGAAGGTGAGATGGCTGCATCGAGATTCAAGATCCAAATTGAAGTCATGAGCCGGATGACGAATCACCCGTTTGGACTCGCCTTCGGTGATTACTCTGGGCAGGATATAGTCACGCAAGCTGCAGGCTGTAATTGGTGTCAAGCTCTTGAGAAGCCAGCCGCACACGGGCTGCGCCTGCTGCTGCGTTGATAGACCTCTAGGAAACTCACATCTCACACTGCTACTCATAGTGGTACGGTACGGTACCTATACAGGTGGCTCGCAACGCACAGCCCCATTAAACCCACAATCAGCAGAGGCTATACCTATATACATACGCGCGCGAGTCGCGAAGCTGCAGCAAGTCCGCGGGTCAATCGTGAATGTCCGCTTACGAGCGAGCGGGGTGTGGTTGACTACGAATCGCGATGAAGCAGTCGTGCGGATTGAGCGCATATATGCCATCATTCAACTTCTTCAGGCTGTCACATCTCACATCTTCATCTGCTTCGACTCAGTCACTTTTGAATGTTCATCTGACGCCGCTCCACGGTTGACACGGAGATTCAAGACGTCACGCCAAGCAATCGCAGTCGAGCAATCCACCCTATAAACAGGCGCGCACCACACCCTGTTTTGCCCTACCAACCGACTCGCCCTTCCGACACTTCTCCTTGCATATTGCAGTATGTCAGCCGCACCTGCTTCCGTCGATGGAGTACCATTAGGGAGGCAACCAGAAGATCACATCAAGGTAAGCTTATCTCCTAGTCCCTTCACACCACTGTTACACCAGTGATCTGACCTATTGCGCGCATCATCACCGCGTCTCGACTCTCGCCTCTCGACGCCTTTGCAGGTGATGGCAGGCAAAACACCATCAAAATTCACCGACCCCTGCAGAAGAGCATCGGCGCTTTCGATGAAATGCTTGGAGGATAACAGCTACGACAAATCGAAGTGCACAGAAGCTTTTCAGGTGTAGTGAGTGCTGCATGAGATCCGAATGCTGGTTGGTGCCTGTTGCTGCAAGTCAGCAGGTGGCGAGACGCAGTCACAGTATGGCGAATCTCAACGCCAAATTGCAGACAATTGTCTTGTCACACCACTGCAGCGGGAATGCAACACTTACTGACTCGCAAAAAGGATCACCCTTTTGCACAGTCGCGATTGCAAAAAGACGTGGATCGAGCAAAGACGGAAGGACAGGAGGGAGGGCAGACCGGGGGCCTGGGATTGAAAGCATTTGTTCACTGAATGATCCGGCGTTGAATGCTCGTGTCTCCGGTCGGAAATTTTGGAAAACGGCGCATGGCCATGGCGCTTTCATCTGCTACTGGAATAGCAATGGGCATTTATGGTTGTAAGGATGACGCGGGAAGAGGGTACGCTACAAGTTGAGAAGGGGGGCATGCAGACACTGCTAGGTGGACAGGATTGTGGCGCACGCAGGGAAATGATCGTGACGCGAGGAGGACAGTCAAAGCGACATCATTCGTCATCGCCATCGCCATCGTCTCCATCTTGATCCTCATCGTCTTCCAGACCCTCGTCTGCATCTGTGGTGCCACGCGCGGCGCCCCTTCTTGACCGCTTACGAGGAGTTGCTTCTTGTGCCTAAGAAGAGTGAGAGCGCGTGCGGCGACCACCGTCAGCTACCTGCTACTACAATGCGCGGAAAATTGGCATCTGCTTGTATGGAAATGGGTTGTTGATGCATACATCTGCTCCCAGCCTTGCGGCACACCAACGTGTGACAACATTTTCTGCGAGCTCGCTGGACTCACCATCCTGTATCTGCTCAGCCAAACATTACAAACAGCCTCGTAGTCGTCAAAGCCTAGCGTGCGCATAGCATAGAGCACATCGTCCCCATTGATGGTCTTTCTCTTCTCATCCAGACACCTGTCCGCAGCTTCCGAGGTCAGAAAGGCGATGAACTCGCAGACGCAATCCTGCACGCAGTCTTTGGCATCTCTCGCTATCTTGCTGGATGCCGGTATGCTGAGCTTCATCAGTCTGCTGATGTTCGCGATGGGAAGAGTGGCCAGTGGCGGTAATGCAGGATGATTGGGATCTTCGGGGTCGAAATCTGCGGGTAACCCTTCCAGGTCGTCGTACAACTCCTCTGCTCCTTCCTCGTACTCCTGAGCCTCGCCCGAGTCGTCTAGCTCTGCCGCGTCTCGATGTGACATTGCAGCAACCTCTTGAGCAGAATTGGAGAGCGCATACGCCGAATGATGCTGCACTTCGGACCCATGTGAAGTTGATGAGGAGGATGCGTTGGCCATCTTGGTCGAGCGAAAGTTTGGCCGGCGATGAGTGGAGAGTGGTGAAGCTTGGCGAAAGGACCGATCAGCGGGTCATCTCCGACACTGCAGTCGATGGTCGTAGGTGGATTTCAGGATTGAAAATGGGACGCGAGGATTGGGTTCTTCAATCAAGAAGGATCGTGAAGCACGTGAATGGGGAATACAATCCTGAATCACGAATCAATCTTGAACGGGAGGATGGACACGACGTTTTGTTGTAATTTGTCGCTATCAGATCGCAGGAAGATGCAGCAGGCCTCCACCCACGCACGTGATTGCGATAGTCATGACACGCTATGCAACCCAAGCAGATTCCAGATTCAAGGCTAATTCAAGATTGAGACTCAAGTTCCTCATCAAGTTGGCGATGAAGCGATCCACTTGTATCCATCAGCTTCAGAATCGTACCCCGGCTCTTGCTCCTACCGCCCCACACTAGCTTCCTCATAAACATTGGAGCTGGTAGCTGTCATCCAATATGACCGTCATTTGAACTCCTTCATCGTCGCCAGCACAGCCGCTAGCTTGCGTACCCTTAGCCGCTTCTGGACATCTTCAGCACCCCTATCACTACACCTCGTCTCACATCAGCGCTTCCGATACCTCGCTCATCGGACTCTGCACAGTATCCAGCTATATCGAATCACTCGTGCGCTGCGCTCATCGCTGAGGCTATCGCCAACATGCCAGCACGCAAGTCAGGCACCTCCCGGGCACAAGCTCCAGCGTTCTGGGTGGAGATTCCGCCGAGAAGCTCAAAGGCGACGTACCATCGCAATCTCAAAGCCTTCTTAGCGTCACAGCAGCACGATGCGAGTGGTGTGGTCGATCTCACGCGAGACACTGGGGTGCAGGATGCTGTGATAGAGGCGCGAACGCCTGGCGATGCCTTCACCTCTGCCAGAGATTCATCGCCGGCAACTTCGGAGATGATTGTGTCGGATGAGTTGGCTGCAGTGAGTGGTGTGTGACGACGGGGCCGGGACGGCATAGCTGCGTTGTCTTGCTTGTTGAACGCACTCACCTTCTCGTCCAGCTGGCTTCACGGCCCGTGGCACCTGCGAACGGCAGCCCCGAGCCGTCGTCGCTGTCATCGAAGAGGGCAGCTGTTCGCCTGTCTCCCGACGAGGATTTGCTGCCGCTAGTGGAAGCCTCTTCTTCTTGGCGTAGACAAGGTGATCGCTCGCGATCAACCTTGTTCTTGGGCGAGTCTCAAAACGATGACGATGCCTCCATCGTGTCGACATGTCGACCCCGCCATCTCGTCTCACCTTCACCCGCGAAGTCAAATGATACGAGTCGAAGTGGCTCCATGCTGGGCATCAGCGCGCCGAAGACGAATGCGCCGAGCGTCTCGATCAACGGAAGAGCGGTTTTCAGCGCCACGACTGCTCAGACGATCATCGTAGCAGCTACTGACGATGATTCCGACGAGGGGCCCGCCCCTCGCAAGGCAGGGCGACGCCTTGTGCAGGAGCCATTGCCAAACCCGCAGAAACTTGCCAAATCGTCGACCCGAGCTTCAGCTAGCGCAACGTCGGGCAAGCGGAAGCGAAAGGAGTCGACATCGTCGAGCTCCTCTAGCTCCTCGGACTCGTCCGACACATCAGACTCGTCAGACTCGTCCACTTCAGATACTTCTGATGAGGATCTGGAGCAAGATCTCAATGTGTAAGTCTGAATTGCGCCATCATCCGCCTACATCCTCGTCAGTATCTCATAAGTTGACGATCCTCTTGAACCAATATTCAGAGACGCCTTCGTCCGCTCGACCGGAGTTCGTGCAGAGCAGGAGCGAAAGGCTAAGAGGCTCGCTTCTCTTAAACGGCGGAGGGACCGCAAACAGCAAGGGTTGTCCACTGAGGAAGATTCTTCTGACGCGAATCAGGGCTCTTCTTCGGGAGATGAAGACGATGGAACGCCGCCTTCACGCCGTTCGAACCCCTACCTTGGTGCTGAGAACTCAAAATCGGAGTCCAAACGATCTAAAAAGGACAAGAGCAGAAAGAAGAAGAAGGACAGGAAGCGGAAGAAGAAGAAGAAGAAGCAGAAAGAAGCGGAGAGGAAGGAGAATGCCCGTGCGGAGTCTAAGAAGCGTGGTAAGACGAAGAAGAGCGCAGAGTTGAATCTACCGCCAGATCGTCACGTCGATCTACAGCAGCTTGGCTTTCTTAGGGCTTCGACAAAGGATTATGCGGACCAGTATGTCCGCTGGCTTAGCTTTCGCCTTCTTGGGATGGAAATTCCTGAAAGCAACCAAAGACTTTGGGACCAAGCTCGTCGTCATTTGCAACAGGAGGTCAAGGCGATAGAGAGCGGTGTGATGACGCAAGCCATGCGCCGCTCGTTCTACTGGCATCTTCGCCATTATCAGAAGTTCTTGAGAAAGCACGCTGGCGACCGGAGCCTTCACGGCTGCGCGGCGTGCGGCAATAGGATGCACCCGTCCGACTCTTATTTCACCTTCCACGGAACTTTTTATCACAAAAAAGATCTTACCGCGTACACGAAGGTGGACTATGCCAATACTTCCAGCGACGAGGAGTCCGCGCAAGAAGATATCTGGACTCCAAAACGCGAAGGAGGCAACGATCCGAAGACGCGCAAACGGTCTTTTTATGTGAGTGGATCGCTGACACGTCAGGTTACTGCGGCTGATCTCTACATGTACCACTTCCAACAGGTCGGAGCGTCGTGCGCATCGCGAGCTCGGCTTTTGCACTCGCTTGCGCATTGGGAGATCAGCTTTGCCCGACATTTGAAAAAGTCCGCGTCATTTAAGAAGGTTGAGAAGGAGCTGGACGAGCAGGACCGCCCTGCGGGAGATGACGATTTGGACGACATTGCCGAGGAGAACGTCAAGACACTGATGAATCGTTTGCAGAGGTGGCAGAGGAAATCGCAAGAAATTGCGGTGGGGAAGGATAAAGCTGCCACGCATGTAGACCGGTTCCCTTGGAAAGAGGAATAGCGCGTCAAAGAATGACATGGTACCTCTCGCATACGTCCCGCATCACAGACCCTAGGGTCGAGCTTGGGCGGGAGAAACGACACTCGGACGGTGTTGGAGTGACAGAGTAAGAGCGTCAGTGCGCATGTCGAGGAAGCTCCGAGGGATTTCGAGCTGGCTCGATATCCCAAACGACCCAAAGAATCACGAAACGATTGGTGGTCGAGTGAGGCAGCTTGAGAAGGTTTGGTGCGATGCGCTGGCTGCCACTGCTCGCATTTCCGTGACGTGAGACACGGCCACGTCGAGACTTGGAAGACGAGGGCTAGAGCTGTGACCGAGAAGCGCTTGGCGGTATGTGGCAGCGGTACTGTGCAGTGCCGATATTGTGCCTACTCAATATCCATGCTTACAAAGGGCACCACTACTTTGACTACGACTACAGTATTGTACAGCATCTGCTCGCGAAGCCGACAATTTGAGCATCGTGATCTGGTCCAGACCGCAAATATGGCAAGTTGCACTGCACCGTCGAAACCTTCCACATCATTCAGTGATTGTTGACGCGCGTCGCGTCCGCTAGTCTGGCCCGTGTCGAGATCACCCGACGGAAGGAAGCGGGGAATCGGGCCGTCGTCGCTCGAACAAGGTGGCTCATTGCGAGTCCGACACGGGATGTAGACTCGTCAGCAATTCGGGAATCGCGGTCCGGAGAGGTGGCGCGCACGTTTTGACAGCATGAAGCAGGTGCGTGCGATACTACAAGTCCGATGCGCTTCCCAGTTGCGCAATTCACAACAGTGAACGTCGTCTGGCACGCCTACAATTTTGATTTGCAGGTGCTGCCGTGAGATTTGCTTTGTGTTTCTTCGAATGAGGGGAGGAGGTAGGCGCGCACCTGCGAGCGATGCGTTTCGAGCTTGACCATGATCGAGGCAAGTGAGCCTCGAGTCAGAAGAGAGCGTTTGTGTGAGGGTGCAGTCGTGAGAATTTGCTCGTCTTGCTCCCCCCGTCCGCTGGAACACGGTTGCCACGAGGGGCATCTAGGACAATCGTGAATCGTGAATGTTGGCCAATGTGTCAGCAAGCGGCAGCGGCTATACCTGTGAATCGTGAATATGCGTGGCGACAGTGAGCGCGTACACAGTATGCCGCCGCGTGCGTCTCGTCTAGCGGGTGTCCGCGGCGATTGAGATGGTGTTGTCTCTTCTGTGGTGCCCAATTCTTGGTATTCACGCCTGGCTGTTGTCGAAATGCAGGTCCTCTGCATGTGCACGCAAATGCCGAACGAAGCATTTTCGCTCACCTCCAGCAGCCGAATACTTGCAAGCTACGCTTTTTGACTTGACCGTACTTTTATGACCTAGCGAACCCAGTCAACCCGTCCGACAGCGGCTTAGTCACGAGTCAGCTTGCGCATGGTGGCTGGGGCGAGGCTCTCGCGGTCAGCAGCGGCTAGCTGCACGCTGCACGCTGCACGCTGCTGGATCGCTTTCCTATCCATGAGGGATGCCAAGCACTTGGTGTTGCAGGGTGGCGATGAGCGCTCTCGTGCAGCATCTTGTAGAAAATCACTCTTGGACCACCTCTGACCAAAGCTTGGCTTAATTCTCTACACTAGCCATGCGCACCCGACTGCCGATGAGCTCCTTCCTCCCCGTCATGGCATGGCCCGATGCGAAACTATAGCGCCACCGGAGGTTGGTTGTATATAGCGTGCAAACAATCGGCCGGCACCTGATCACTCACGACTCTTGCGACGCGGTCAGTTGCACCGTTCTGCATGCATGCGAGCGATCAGACCGCGTGAGCTAGGAGCTTAAGTGCGAGCGCAGAGTCAAAGTACAGTACATAAACAATCAGCACAGATGCGTGGACGGGCATGGCAGCGGTCAAGCGCTCGCAGCCTGGATTCTCATTCAGAAGCACCGCGACCAGCACGAGAGCACGCACTTCACGCACGCACGCATCACGCACGCACGCATCACGCACGCATGCAGCTTGGACCCTGACGTTGAGTGAGCTCCACCAAGGAAGGGACGCACAGACGCACTCAATAAACTGCTGCACCTGCACCTTGCTGACGATTCGTGATGATTTCTGAGCTACAAGCCACCCGCGCATCGGGTCACCGACCGAGGTAGGGTATAGGTAGGGTAGGTAGGCCTTTGCGCTGAAATCTCCTGATTTCTGAACACGCACTCTAACTCTCCATTAAGGACTCACACTGCTGATGACCCTCGGAAGAGCCAGCAAAGGTGTGACCCTGCTTTTGACCTCGTAAATACTCGTCATTGGCCACTAGACCTATCTGAGAGGAGTCGTGCACTTGGTGCGAGGTCCAGGGAACGCTCGCGATGGTGGCTGACATGCCACCTCTGACTGATGAGGTTGTCATGCGCAATCATTCAAGGCCCGGCTTTGCTGATGGAGAGCGATTGAGCGAGCGCGAAGAGCTGCTCTGCTGTTCTGCATGCATGCAGCCTAGCTGTTGTCAGGACCCCTTTGCTCAAGCTTCTCTTCTGTACGTGGCCCGCGGGCAACGGCTCGGATGCGGGATAATCGACGATGGCATCAACGCGCGCGTATGCAGCTGCTGGTGAGCAGACGGGACGGGCAGGCAGGCAGGCAGTATCAGCGCTTGCTTGGCTCCATGGGGAGCATCACGCATCATATGTTCGACGACCCTCCCTCCCTACCATTGAGTCAGGTTGACACCGTACAACCGCTTGATCAGTGACGTCTTTGGACTTTCGCAACGCACTCATCGTTGTCACTGTCATTTCACGCACTCACCTCTATCTCGAAAACAAGCCTCTTTCCGGCCTCTTCCACATCGGCGTTCATCACACCCGCTAACGTCCCGTGCTCGTCAGCCCTTCTGACAGAAGAGCCGATACAGCAGTCACAGTGGCGCGTGCAGTCCACGTCCCTTCACAAAAGTCATTCAGTCACCGGTCTTTGCAAGAGCAAAGAGGATTGGTCCATCAGTGTTCTCTTCGTTCACGACCGCACACCAACCTTTCATCGCACTTGCTGGCCAGCTTCTTTCTCCCTCTCAATTTGGCATATTTCCAGCGCGCGGAGCGGCGGGCCGACCTCATCTCATTTCGCGCCACTCTTCTGACTATCTCGCCCCCATTCCTGTCTGCTCGTCTGCCCCGCATCGCAGTCTGTCCTGGGCAAATCCGCACGCACGAAGGCCTGTTCCGCCATACTCCGACTCGCTTGCCTTCGACCCTCTTTCGCTCCTTTTCGGTGAGTGGTCCCTGCAAGATGTGGTGCTGCACAATGTTGCTGTGAGGTTGGATGCTGCTTCCCATCGCATGGACGAGCGTGTGGCATCAGCCCATTCTTTGGGTACCATGCAACAATGCACCATCGGTGTGGACAGATGAATGTGTGGGCCGCGCGCGCAAGGCATGACGGCAGTCCTGCTCTAATTGAATTCTCATCGTCGGCACGCAGCGACCGAGCATAGATTCGCTATAGCTCGCATTGGCGTTGGCGAGCGGACTACACAAAATCACCATTCGAACCTAATCTTGCTGACTCCGCACGCCTCCAACTTTCTAGGTTCGGCAAGACGCTTACCGTTCTCCAATTGGACCAGCAACTTCGTTTCGCCTTCCCTGTCACTTCATGACGCTTGAAGCACTGTTGCAATTCTGAGCGCGCTCTTGCGTGTCGCAGTAGCTTCGAATCCTCTGAGCGCCTCCGAGCGTCACGCTGGCGCAACGATGGGTTCGATGACAGAGAGCGCCAACAGTTCCAACGGCACACTCCATGCCCTCGAGCACGTCCCCACTACTCCTGGGCCGAGCTGCCGGTCTCAACTTGCCATGCACGACTCACGAGGCATGGACACTGAGAGTCCTTCCTCCACCTGCGATGAGGCCCTCGAATCTCAAACCTACGACTCGCTCCCTAGTAGCCCGCGCTCCACAAGCGGGGTATTCCCAGGCGTCCGGATGAGCAGTCGTTCCCAGATCGGCACGGTTTCTGCTGCCATACCTATTGGAACTGCCTTGTGCGCTGGCGTGGCGAATTTAGCATCACACATCCTCGAGGTCAATACGGCGCCCGAACAATTGGCGAGGGCTGCAGACGCTTCGCCGGTCAAGCGACGAGTACGGGGGGGACGCGCCTCTAGAAGACATCGACAAGTGGAGCGGAGCACAGATGCTGCAGACTTGGTGGTTCCTAACCGGCGGAGCAGTCTAACCCTGACGTTGCAAGAAGCTTCCGATCTAGCAAGGGGAGTGCTGGGGCTGACTGAGGCGGACAGGCCACCATTGCCCACTCAACTCTCAGCGGCGCGTGAGACAGAAGGAAGCGCTGACGAGAGCTTGCCGCTCACGATCGATACCAACGTCCCCACTGAGATTGGCAGGACACTTTCGACGTCGACTGCAGGCACGGATCAGTCCAGTACCGTGGAGAGTTCTGGAACAGCGGCGACTTCTGAAGCGCCATCGTCGATCGATCAGGTAGAGGTCGGAGTTGTCACTTCGCTTGATGGGAGCAAAATCCGCGAGCCGTCGTCGGAAGAACGTCCAAGGGATGAAGGCGCCGAAAGAGGCTTAGCTTCGCATTCAGAAGGTCGGCGTGAAACTACCACGAGCGCGGCTCAGAGCGTGGCCAGCTTCACGAAGATGCGTCGACTTCACGCCCTATATGAGCTGGTCGAGACCGAGCGTTCTTATGCAGATGATCTTGGCTTGCTTGTCGAAGTGTTCTTTCGCAACCTTGGAGATCAGCCTTTCTTCTCCGAGCGCAGTGATCGCATCGATACTGTTCAGCGTAATGCGGCGGAGCTGCTCCTGCTGCATCGCGAGATGGCAGACAACATGGAGCGAATTCTGGAGGAGCATGGCGTATCGCCTTCGGACGTGCTGTCAAAAGCCTCAGGAAGTCACATTGCTGCCAGCGCCGAAGCGGAAGCAGCTACCAGCCGCATTGCAAAGTATTTCGGCAAGCTTGGGCCGCGATTCGCGATCTACCAGGACTTTTGCTCCCGGCACGGCGAAGCATTATCCCTGGTCCGCGATGCTGAGCGCCGGCACGGCGGCGATGATTGGCGGAGCTACGAACGGTGTTGCAGCAACATTTTGCGAGGCTTTTCTCGCTCGCCCACGCCTAGAAATGGCCTCTCCCGAGCAAACTCTAACCAGGGGACTTCGAGCGCAGGAAGCCTTGGCATCGCGCCCATGACGCCTACAGCCACCATCGCCCCACTGTCTCCGCTGTACGACCATGCGCGCGCTCCGAGCTCGCCTGATCAAGCCTTTGGTGCCTCATTCATTCAACTACCACTCGTCGCTACACCAGCCTCCGAGACAAGCTCGACTGGCGGAATGCTTCGAGATGGAGCTGCGAGATTGTTGTTCTCGGACTACTTTGTGAAGCCGATCCAACGTCTGTGCTTGTATCCGGTCGTCCTGAGCACTCTGCTCAAGTACAGCGACGATGGCGACCCTTCTCACGCGGCGCTCAGTGAAGCTCTAGCGACGATGCGCCACGTAGCAGAGGATGTTGACGAGGCGGGCAAGGAGCGAGAGAAGGTGCTGATGGCAGCCCTGATCAGTTCGCGTGTTGAGGCAACGCTGGTGAGTCCGAGCGAATGCAGCGCGGATGGTGCAGATTCTTTGCTGAGACCTTCCATCTGCCACCTCACTCAGAGTGTGACACCGACGCTGATCGCGTCGCTCGGACACTGCCTTCTTGCTGGCGCCCTCGACGTGATGCATCATCACTCGGTCCTCCAGCCCTTGACTGCACCGCTTCGTTTCAAGTACTTTGCTGTCTTTGTGTACGAAGGTTTTGTTCTCTTTGCGAAGGTCCGCAAGCCGAGCGTCTACGAGCCCAAGTTCTGGTTTCCACTGTGGGCTGCCAAATTGTACGACGGCAAGCAAGGCTTTTTCAGTCGACTTGGGAGCGAGGAAGCGCCAGCGACGTCGCGAGAATACGCCTCCGTGCTACCCTATTCCTGCAGGCTGATCTGCCTTGGAGGTCACAACTTCGAGCTGGTGGCTTCTTCTGCTCGCGAGAAAGAGGCGTGGGTGGCGACGCTAGCACAAGCGATCGCTCATGCCCCCTTTTCACCGCCGAAAGGTGGTCCAAGCAGCTTCCCGTCAAGCCTGGGCGACTACTCCATCGCTAGCGATGACCTCCGCGTGTCAGGTCTGGCAGAGGAGCACTCCGACGCGTTCCTCGACGCTGACCCCTTGGGCACATTCTTGACAGAGAACGCTGCTGCACCTTCTCCTGCCGATATCCTAGTGCGACATTCTCCCTTATCGGCACGAGCAGCAGTGGATCGAGCAATGATCTTCTCGGAAGCCATTGTCGCCGCGCGCGCTGGTGCCATGAGAGAACGAGGAGATCAGTCCTCAAACACCCCCTCGATCGGCGCTGCTGTGGGGGCAGCTATTGGGGGCCTTGCTCGAGCTGCTGCACGGAAGGCGCCGCGCCGCGCCAGTACTCTTTTCGCGGACGATGAAAGACCTGTGCTGGAGGATGGTACACCTAGAGAGAGCACATCTCCAACGCTCGTCGCGAGTCCGACCAAGCTGGACACCCAACTCGCACCTGCGTCAACGATGACTACTGCTTCCCCAACCTGGAAGGTGCGCACAGCTCGCTCGCGACCGCCCTTGTTGTCCGTGCCTGCACAGCAAAGTAGCAGCTCCACAAATAACAGCACGTCCCCCATTCAGTCCGTTGCACAGCCAGACGGCAAGCGGAACTCATTCGCAGCTGATGCAGCCGTTCCGAGACGGAAGAGCTTCGTCGACGATCGAAGATCTTCCAGCTCCAGGCCTCCCAGCACTCGCAACAACTCGAGCATGACGAATCTGAAGAATATGTGGACGTCGCGCAGTAGGACAAGCTCCGCGGAATTCGACCTTAACGAGCTGACTGCTCGTGCCGCAGCAGGGGCGGACGCACACGCAACAGGCCAGTATGCGCATAGTCGCGCTTCTGTTCACCTAGCTGAAGACGCCGACCGGGCTTCGCCTGTCGAGCTGCTCCTCACTGACATGGAAGAGCAGCCGGGCAACGATGGGCATTTGACCTTCACATCCCGAGCTTCAACTTTAAAGGGAGCGTTCAGCCTTCGCAGGCGGCAGCGTAGCGGAAGCGCATCGTCGGATTTTGGACCGCCTCCTCTGGCGGGCACCATCACTCCTTATAATCAATCTCGGTCTGTCGTCAGCTCGCGGGAGTCCCTAAATGTGACACCTTCGCCCCACAAGCTCGCGGCTCGCCTTGCCCAGAGCAGTCGCGATTCACTGCGGCGCTCTTTTACTTTAGGCAGCAAGGGCAAGCAGCGTGCTATGAGCCTGCCTAGTGCAGTCGACGATGACGGAGCACTGCGGTCCGGCAATCCGAACGCAATCCTTTCTGCGGAGTCTGTCGCGAGTCGAGAGTCTCTCTCGCCAATCGCCACACCTTCTGATCGCGGCAGCGGTCACACTAGCCCTTCTCTTTCGGCTGATGATGGGCATGTCCGAATTCCGAGTGCAGGCGCTGAGGACGGACAAGCATCAAGTAGCCCTGGACCTTTACCTGCCCTGACCTTGGCATGCGAAGCTTCCACTGTGCGTCCGGGCTTCCTGAATGGCACACTCAAGAACACGCGCCGGCTCTCCACACGCTTCCTGGGCAGTCGTTCGACTCCCCCCTTGTCGGGACTCAGATCCGTTGCCGAAACCACGCAGGAGCACGCATTTGGTGTGATGCAGCCGTCGGAGCCCAATCAGACTACCGCCGCCGTCAAGCTAGCCAATGCGCCAGAGCGCGAGAGAACGACCTCGACCACGCGACCAAGATCAAGTTCACTTCAGACATCTGCTTCCCAGGAGGCCTCAAACTGACGCGCTTGGAAGAGGACGCTAGTCGTCGACTTCGCCTTCGTCTAGCCGGGGCTTTCGATATGCCATTTCAAACCACACGGTGCTATCAACCACATGCCTTTTTAATCCTTTGGACCACTCACTCATTGTTTGCAATTCTCCTACCTCCTTCAAGATTTGTGTTAGCTTCGGTGGCTTTCGGCTCACACCGCATCGCGCAATGTAACTTTACGTTTCCACACAAATACCCCTCCGTTCTCCTGCTCCATCTGCCTTGGCTCCGGTACTTGCAACGCATTCGTTTGCTCGCACGTTTGCACATCGCGTTCAATACCAGCTTTGGCTAGGTGACCTGACGATGTGGTGATTACGTCGACAGAGCACGAGATGGAGAGCATGATTGATGCAGTCACACACTTGCTGGTTGGTGACGAGCGCAATAGGTCATGAGATTGTCCAGGGTCATCTCGGCGGCACGGCGATGAGGCACGCGCCAACTTCGAGGAAGATGCTGATAAAGGGGGGAGGAAAGCAGAACGATGGGAGTGCCAGAGGACCTAGATGTCGGCATGCCGAAGACTATTTCCAGAGCAACTCTACTCGAGCGTGGCAAAGGTAGCGGCAGCGACGTGCTTGGTCACGGTTGTGGTCTTGCTACCGTCGGTGAAGGAGCAGAAGACGCGCGCCTTGGAGTCGGGAAAGTTGCCGCTAAAGTCTCCCTTTTGACAGTAAGCGGTCTGGAAGGAGAGCTTCTTGTTCTTGGGCACGTACTAAAGGGGGAAGGTGGAGAGGATGAGAAATAGAAGCGCATGAATTCAGTCGGATGTTGGCGCGAGGGGGTGGGGGGATCATTCTTTTGCGCCGATCGCGAGGTGCCATCGACATGGCGCAACGACCAGGCATCGTGTTCCGCGCCGAGGGCCCAAAGACACCAGGCAAATCAATACTCACGTTGATGCAGTTGCACCTCCAAGAGTTGCAAAACTCGTCTCCATTTCCTCCCTTGAAGTCGGCAATGACGCGGTCGTCGGCAGCTTGAGCGGCCGGGGCGAAAGCCACGAGTGCGGCGACGGAGGCGAAGGCGGCAACAAGAGTGAACTTCATGGTGAGCGGATGGATGATTGGGCCTGATGAGAGGGTGATGGATGAGTAAGGATGATAGTGAGGAGGAAGAGTGGAGATCAAGGATGAATGTGGGGATGGGGGGAGCAAAGGTGGAGGAGAAGGCGTCGAGAAAAGCTCTACTTGTACCTTTCTCGACCTGACTGACTTTGGCACCCTACTCGCGACTCGCGACTCGCGATTACAGCTGGTCAGCCATGCATGCAGCAGTCAGCAGGCAGCAATCAGCATCATCCCTTGCCCCTCCACTTGCCGAGATGAGAGTGGCATGTCGAGGCGCCCGATGCAGGTCCAGAAGTGATCTCGCTGCTGCTATGCGGCGGATAGAAAGTCATCAGCAAGTCCCCACATTTGGCACGAGCGTTCAAGTGCTGCTTGCTTGCTTGCTTGCTTCTCGACATCGCCAGAGATGAAGTGCTCGCTAAGCTTGTTCGATCGCTGCTGCTGCGCTCCTTGCCACCTTCTGCTGAGACCCGCGGCGAGCTTTCATGGTACCTGCGGCATGCACGTTCGGAGAAGCAGCGACCGGCGGGCGGCATCTAATGTAGTAATGTGATCGTCGATCGAGCCTCTTGCTGCTGCAGTCAGTACGTCGGCAGTAGAGCATCTGCATCATGCGGATGTCTACTGGGATCCTGTATAGGTACACTTTTGACTGTGACTGTACTGCTACTCAACCTACCTACAGCCTTGTGTTGATTGGCGTGAGCAGCAGTCTGTATATAGCTGCCCGCTTTTTGGCCCCGGCAGACAAGAGGCTCAACCGAGCCTTTCAGGTCGCGCGGCCCTCCCGTCCCCCCGGCATTCTTGATTTCTCAAGCCACCGCGACCTTCGACGCGTCAGCGTGGCCACCCGAAATAACGGCAAGCGTCTCCAGATGAGGTTTGATTGCGGTATATTGACGCCCGTGCTGCGATACGAAGGGAAAGGGGGCAAATCAAAATGCACTTTGAACTTGCACAAAAGTCGGACCCAAATCTGCAATCGTGCCTGAAGCCAGTCAGCCACAGCCGACAAAACTCCGCAGATAGGCTTGATTGTCTGGAACGTAATGTTCATCCGCATGCCTGACCGATCAATCAGGTCAGGTCAGGGCAGGGCAGGGCAGGAGGAGATGAGTCAGCAATCCATCGCCAATCGTATGCGATACCACAAGCGTGCGTGCGTGAGCCCTGCTTTCACCATGCCGCATCTGATGTTCGCGAAGGGAAGGGACAGAAGAGTGGAGCGCCGCGATCGAGCATTGAGCCGCTTCTTGGCTTCCCAACGGTGCGTTGTTCGGTACGTGCAACTCTCGTGTGGGTCATGTCTCTGCCTGCCTGCTGCTGCTTCGGAGATCAACGTACTTGCGTATGAAATGTGCACCTTGCCGCCCAGCTCGCGACTGCTGCTGCAAAGCCCCGATGCGATTTGTGATTGCGATTGCGTCTGATCTCTTCAAGACGACCTCGAGTCGAGTCGCCTCGCCCGCCTCAACTGCTCAAGCGGCGTCAAAGGCAATCAGCGTCTGCCCTTCGAGACTTTCGCCGACTGGCCAGCACACGTTCGACCGTGCTCTACACGACTTAATCGAGATGAGGACAGAAGTCATCACTTTTCGCCTCGGCGCGCACACACCTTCGACGGGATTGCGCCGTTCGCTCGTAGGAACCTTCCAGTCAGTCGCCTCATCGTCCCTGTAAGAGGGCTGAAGGAGGGCTTCCATGATACCACTGGACCTCGGAACCCAGAGGAAGAGCGTGTGGCAGCGAATAGCGTGAGCTAGACAACAGTGGGCGTCTCATTGCAGCTTGCATCTACACCATCGGGGCACACACACCATCGGGGCTATCAGAAGGCCTCCTAAGGATGCCGCCGAGCTTGACGACGAGGCTGAGGTCAGCATCAATGTTGCAGGCGACACTAGAGCTAGACGATTGCAGATCGAGCGGAGCTCTTAATAACGACAAAAGGGCTTTCCCGGACCATCTGGTGCATCCGCTCCTGGGTCAGACACACCGACGCTTCCGATGGACCTGCTCATCGGTGTCCATGCAGCCGTGATAAGGTCCACATCCCGAAGATGAGACCGCGTTCACTGCTTTGCCAAAGATCGATCGGGTCCATGTTGTATCACCTAGCCAAACGGCCGAACCCACACCTCGACTCGTAGCTTCATGTTGCAACGCGCAAAGCTCCCACCAGGCTTGCTCACCCCGTGTATGCGCACCAAGTATCTATTGTGCGCCTGTCCAGCTCTCATGCACCAAGCTTCTTGTCAATCTCCTCTCTATCAAGCGTCCCTTCCCTCAGCTCCACGACCTTGGCAATGTCCGCTTTGACGCTGAAGAGTGAAATGGCGGAAGCGTACAAGGTCGATAATTCAGTCGAAGAGGTAGGTGGGGCCCAACTGTGAGACGACGCGACGGTAGCGCAGTGTTTGCGTCAGAGCGAGAGGGGCAGTGAGCTGAGCCCGCACATGCAAAACTTACTACAGGATGATCAGAGGCTGTGGCAAAGGTTCAGTTCGAAGGATCGAGGTGTAAGAGCAGAGCCAACATTGAAGGCTGTGTACGTCACGTGTCCCATCGAGCACTCACATATGAGGTTCGCCCATCCCGATGTTTGAGCTCGTAGGAGAGCACGATAAAGCGAGGCGAGTTCTCTGGAAGCTCTGAGGCGATGATGCGGTTGGTGGACTGAGTCAGCTAGGTGGCCCTGCAGTCAATCCAGTGTCATGCCGGATTGGCAAGGTCGCAAGGCTCGTCTCGAGCGACTGTCGCAGCAAGTCAGTGCATCTTGAGCGCACCTCTCTCTACTCAACGAGGCCCATGCCCACGTCGAAGCACGTCGAGGATGCTGTCTATTCGCTCGAGCACAGCTTTGCGCGCTTGATCCAAGCCTTCGAACAAGTGCTTGCAGTCCGGGGCAGGCTGACCCAGACAAACAAGCTGCCGCGCTCGCTCGCTCGCTCGTTCGCTCACCTTCTTGCAACTCTTCAATCCCAATATCATCAAACTCTTCCTCCATCTCCATCTGCAACTTTTTCTTGTCAATCTTGACCACCAAAGCTGCCGCTCCCGCATTGCGCTTGCCCATCCTGAACGCTTTGAGCTTGTCCAGCAGCGTCACGGGAATGTCCACCGTGGCCATTTTGGGCAAAGCGGTTGTGTGGTTGTAATGTAAGTGAGAGATTCCGGCGAAAGCTCTGTGAAGGATGGAAAGAGGTAGCGAGCGCTCGGCTCTGCTGAAGCGTCGAAGGAAGGAGGAGAGGGGACAGCGAAGCTTGTTGGAGGTGACGAGCATAGATGTGGCTGCTGCTGCTAGTACCATCAGCAGTAGTCGCGGAACAGCTGCTGCTGATTGATGCGTTGCCCCGTGCGAGGCACATCCATGCAGTCGCAATCAAAGGCACGAGTCGCCAGTGCGCGCCCAACGCTCGAGGTGCGCTCATGCAATTCACGGGCGGCAGCTGTGACGGATAATCTGAATGGGTGGTTACGAGTCACGCGAGTCTTGGTGCTAGTAGTGCAGGCAGAGGCATCCAAGATGAACGCGGTGATCACAGCAGCAACAATTGAATGATTAACGATTCGCATTCACGGCCATCCTCTTCCCTGAGCGGCTGCGTGCACTTCACAAAGAGCGGAGCGTGGCGTCACATCTACCTCGTTGCTGACTGCAATGAAAACCCTGAACAGCACACGTGCTTGCGGTGACCGAGAATGGTACATTCAAATTGTCTCGACTTCAAAAGTCTGGCGAGTACCGAGCGTCAGATTTGGTGTCCGGTAGTGAGCTCTCCTCTTCCTCATCGAACCACCTCTCCTCGCTGTCCCTGGCCGGCGCCGCATTGGCGCCTCTTTCGTCTTTGTCTCTCTCATGCCTATCCCACTCTTCATCAAAGTCGCAGTCATCGTAGAGGTATTTCGGAATCAAAGGCTGGTGCGAATTGAAGAGTAAGAGCTCGTGGACTGCAGGTGTGGTATCCCCCAAGGCCTAGATGCATTTCAGAATCACATCACCAAAGACAAATCGTTTCTCCACCTCTGCCATGAACGCTTCCAATCTCTCGCGCTCGATCTGCAAGAGATCCTCGGTTGTTTCGCCAGTAGCACTCGCTTTCATACCTAACGGCGCCTCCTGTCCCTCCACATC